TATTATACACATCGATTAATTTGCGTTCCGTTTTTATTAAAATGTTTATAACTGTGGCGGCCCACCACCAGAGGTCCAAAAGGGAAAGACTTAAAAGGAAGAGACTCGCGCTAATTCTTTCATGTACTTGAGATACATGAGATCTATTCATATAGCACCTCGCTCTAAGACACCTCCAGGCGTCTAAAAGGCAGGCTCCCACTACAATACCTTACTGATGAGTCGAGTAGTGGGGGTCGGGACGAAACGCAGCAGTGGATAACAACAATATTTTCGCATTGACTACCACACGAAGCCAAATAATTACAATAATTTTTAATTTCTTGAACCTCTTTGTGTAATTTTTTAAAATAATATATTTTATTTTTTTATATTTTTTAAATATTATATTTATATACACAAATTGATTAAATTGTTTAAATTTTTTAACAACAAGGAACGTTTTGTTAAAATATAAACAACTTACCTCCCATATCGAGGAAAACTTGAATCTGGCTGGCGAGTAGATCGGAATCTTTTGCGAAAGTGGCTTCTTCCACGCGTATTTGCAAAGCTTCGGAGAAGTTTTGACTAAAATAGATTACACCACTGAGCTTTGCATTTTGTACAGCCTGTCTTGCCTTGGGAATGTCTTCATAATACTCCTGAAGGCGAAATATAAATAACAATTTTTTAAAAATACTGTAATACATTGATTATTGTTACTGCGTCATCCTGTCAATTTATATGGAAACGTATAATGTATATTATATTTTTTAAATTTCACACACACACACACAATTTACATATATATATTGAATAAATTTGTGGGAAAGGTGTTAATGAAAGAGAGAACTCCATTCACAAATTGATTGTCTACAGCATCGTTTGCCTATATCACGTTTGTCAACAGGTCATTTGCTTCAAAAAATTATTGCCTAGAACTCGATTGCCTACATTCTTTTACACTGGTAATATTATCGTATTTGTAGATGTTACATTATAAGCAAAAAATTTCAACTGTGATTTAAATCTATAAGTCGAATTTATTAATATTAAATCTTATAGGAGACCGTGTTATAATTTAACCGTGAGAATTAAAAACAATGAAAAATCTGTATACCTTAAAATCTGTAAATAATTAATTCCCTTTGCAAAACATATTACCTCGGCTGAGAGATAATATTCTTCTCAATAAGAGCTAATTACATCGTTTTCTTTCTCTTCAACGCTCGACATATATTTATATCATTTTAAATGTAAAAGCAAAGTGTGTAAGCAAAGTGTTAACAAGGCAAACAGACCTAATTGTAGAAGCATCGTTAATTAGCTTGACCTGTTTCTCATCGGTTTTTCATTAGTCAAATTTATTGATTTATTGATTGTCTCTACAACTTTTTTGTTTTGTTTTATCTAATTGTTGTTTGCCTATGTATCATTTTGCCATACGAGCGTTTTCTTTTATATTTATAAGCTGTGCAATAATTATATTTATAATTGTTCGATAGATTTACTTGGCACTTTGCCCTTCTTATATTTGTATTGTTTTATACATATAGAGCCTTTTCATTATTTATTTTATTATATTTATAATTGTTTTTATTGTGTAATAAACCTATTTAAAGTTAAGAGGGCTACAGTAAAATTTTATCGGGCAGAAATAATGCCAAATCAGATTTCTACCCGAGTATCGACCACGTATTACTTCATCCTTATAATTTACATTAGACAAAGGTGATATGTATGACATCTGGAGAGCACACGGGTTGGAATGTGAACACGCCAGTTCGATTGTCTACAAGTATTCTCTGCTATAAAAACATAAATTTTGTTTTAAAACACAAATATTCTGCTAAGACCAAATCTCCGTTTTAAATGTACAAAATATTTTCTCACGTAGTATAATCTTAATTTTTTATTTGTACGCAGAAAAATGAATGTAGGCAATTAAGATGTAGGCAATAATTTTTGCGTGCAAGCAACCTATCGGTAAATGATGTAGGCAAACGATCTTACTATAGCAATCAATTTATAGGCAAAAAGTGCCATTTTTTTAAGAAAACATGAAATTGTTTTAATCATATATATTCCAATTATACATTATTAATTTTTAAATTGTTGTACCTGTGTAGCAATAGAATTGTCAAATTTATGTAGAAATCTACAACTGAGGTTACCAAAATGACAAGTGAGTTCGTCACTCCAAACATTGCCAAAGTTGCTGTCGGAATTACAGTTTTCGACTTCTTTGTTGACGACACCAATTTTCAAATTTTTTGGATCATCACCAATTGCTATAATAAATACGCCCATTTGAAGTATCGGAAATACTACTGCGAAAATTAGTCCTCTGAAAAAATGTGTCAATTATTATTTACTATTATTGTATTTAAAATATGGTACGATTAATAAATTAAAATTTTTTTTAATATAATGTTTTGTATATAACAGTTCAATGATGTACGAAAATAATACAAAAAGTGGCAAGTTTTTAAATTAAATTAATTGAATTTCTTAATTTTTTTTTTTCTATAAGTACATATCTTGCCTATTCTACATTCCCTATATCTTGTATATGTCCTATAATACCCTATATATATAATATGTATATCCCCTAAAAGAATTAATTATTAATACATAGATATATTAATATATATGGTATGCATATATTTACCCATAATCACGTAAAAATTGAGTGCCATTCTTTGTCAATAGTGCTTTATACCTTCTCAATCGCGAAACTGGACGTTTTGAAACTGCTTCGTACTTCAAGTATGCCTTAACAATTCAATTTATTTATGTTATAAAATATTATCGATTATATAGCTTTTTATAACAATAATTAGGGTATAGATTATTTTTCTACATATGTACTTTTGTTGGTTCACAATGTTGATTTTGATCCTGGTGCAAGACGTTACCGCGCATATCTTCTACTTCGGATCCTTGAGCTTCATCCAAAGTGACTGTATTATTTTGGATATTGCATAACTTCAAAAAAGCTTCTTCTAAGAACGAACATTGGTATCGCGCCAGCAATTCCTGCGGTGCTGATTCCGCTAACAATTTACCACATCTCATCAAACCAATCTGTATAATAATAAAAATGTGCAATATCTAATTTATGTCATATATCGATCAAAATACATTTTTTACATGAAATAATTTTTTACATAAGTGCTAGTATTATAGAACTATTTTAATAGAAAACAAAACGCACTTTATTAGCATCTTTAGTTTCTTCAATGTAGTGTGTCGTGATTAGTACTGTAATACTTTCCTCCTGAGTAATCTGGATCATGTAGGACCAAATTCTACGCAGAAAGGACACACACAAACATTTTCTTATTATTATTCTTTATTCTATCAAAAAAAAAAAAGCAAATTTTACTTGCTTCTCTCTCAAAACTGGATCCAACCCCACAGTGGGTTCGTCGAGAATTAAAAGTTCGGGCTTGTGGATCAACGCTACTGCAAGGGAAACCCTTCTTTTTTCACCTCCACTGATGTTCTTTACCAGATGATTATCTGAGGGTAATTGAAGCAACTCCGAGAGGAACCTCTGTCTCGTCTCTTAGAAATAATATGGGGAAGCTGTAGTTGCTTGAATTAACTTATTATACGTTATGTAAGTTTTCTCATATATAATATGTACCTATATGTATTTATGTATACGAATAATATTTAAAACAAAAACTGATACCATTTAAAAGGTGTTTACTGATAACATCTTAGGATACATATGACGTTTCACATGCGCGCGTGTGCTATAATATTTTTTTTATTCTACGTCTTACCGATCTCCTCATCCTCGAGACCGTTGATTCTACCAAAGTAGTAGAAGGCACCGCTTACGGAAAACTCTCCAACCAAGGAAATCTCTTGCGGCATGTAACCTACTCGAGGTCCAGGAATGCCAGAACTCTTACTACCCGGATTTCCTCCCAAGACCCACATCTCTCCACTGTCAAGATTTCGAATTCCCACGACACAGGACAGCAGAGTGGTTTTGCCGCATCCACTCGCTCCCAACAATCCGTATCTGTTTAAAAAAATATTTCGCTTACATGCTCCATCTTATGTTCAACAATATGCTAAATGAACGAGATCCTTTTATCTATATTTTCGTATTTCAATATTCATTACAAAGTTATATGATTATCTTTTCGTATATTTTGTGCAAATAGCAAGAATTTAAGAAATGGATGAATGTACGTGGAGAGACGGTAATTTATTAGACGTGTCTCTTGAATAATATTAAAGTTGTGCAGATAATCAGAAACTTTTTGTTAATTTTATTGCTCTTCCTTTTGTTTCGTAAAGCATCTTCTTGATCATACTTTTTGGAAAATTTGGAGCGTAAATGAATATGAAGACAATTAATCTGTTGTATTAATTGGCACGTCGAAAATTAATAACAGTTACTTACATGGAATTCCTTTGTACGGTCATATTCAAATCGTCGAAAACTAAATCTTTCCCATAACGTTTTACAGCATTTCGAATGATCACGGCATTCTGTTGTACCATTTTGTATAATGGTACTTGATCAGTTGAAATAGAACTATTTTTTCTCAAATGATTACTTCCTGGAAATGTTGACTATTTAAAAACCTGTTAAATTGAAAACAAGAGATATGAATAAGTTTACGAACATGTTATTGATTTTGAATAACGATTTAAAAGTTTGTATGCTGCATCAAATTATACGGTAAAATATGGCAATGCATTTTTAATTGGCTGTAGCAGCCAATTTGTTGTTGTATCAGCCAGTTTTTGTGTAGACGTAAGAGAAAACGTCTTTAAATTAACTACGATATAAAAATTTTATTTAAAAAGCATTAAAACCATTTGGATCCAAATAGGAAGATTTTAATTGGAATTCAAAAATATATCCTACTTAAGTTTCATTGTGTGTAATAAAAATGAAAAGTCGTACCAGATTTGAATTATTATATATTCTTCACTTATATTTGATATGGGATTCAATTTGGGCTAGTTTATATTTTCTCTTTTATACAAATGATACATGTCATTAGAGTTCAGTAAATAACATAGACAATACATATGTTTTACTTTAATTAAATTTAATTTATAGTTAATTAGGACTGTAACATTTGGGTTTTCATTTTTTATGTGATATATCAGTTCTTACGAGGAGTAATAATTCTTGACATAGAATTGATGCTGCTACTACTTGCGTGGTAATAAAAATTAATATTTTTGAAAATTTTCTGAATGCGGCTCTGTCTATGAGTATGTTGTATACATAAAATGCAAAATAACATAAATTAGTAAAAAAAAAACTACTCTTATGCATTTTTACGCAAACAATCAATTATTCCTGGAAAAATAAGTTAAAAATAAATTATAAAACAATATTATATATAACTAAAGTGTGAGAACATTATTTTTATGTTAGTTTATTAGCACACTATGTGAGATGTTGTAATCTGATATCATCCACTAGTATTTTATACTAGTGTTTTATACAGGAAATGCGAAATAATGATTAACACTAATGAGAAAATAAGTTTGCTGCGGACGACCTTTGTATACCTGGCACTCGATTTTTAAAAGATTAAAATTTTTATACACAAAATAATAGTATTTCGTTTGTAGTTGTTTGTGATAACAATAATTTCGTTTCTATTTTCTTATATTAAAAAATAAGAATGCTTTCATAAAAAATCACTGTCACTCGATTTTAAGATAGAAAAGATTGTTAATATATTTTGTTTCATAATCGTTTGTAGTTGTTTGTAGTAATTTTTCGATTATTCGTAGTTGTTTACAAATTACAAACGATTTTTTTTAACAATAAATAGTTCAAAATAAACCCTAATAAACAATGCTCTCCATATCAAAACATTAATAAGAATAAAGTAAAGGGTAAATTCGAGAGTCATCGATAAATAGAATTAATACATATAAAAAATTAGAAATATTATTAAAACGTTTTCAAAATGCATACATACCATGTTTCGGCTCCTGGATTGAGTCTTTTTGCTGAAGAAATCTCAAAGCTCAAAATGTTTTGGCGGTTATTACACATATACCTTCACAAATCCAAAAGCTTAAAATGTTTGAGCGGTTATTACACACATTCCCTTTGAACTTTATAGAAAGATGTGAAGTGATGCGTTTGACGTTCTACAAGACAAGACACTACGCGAAAACTAAACTTGATTTTATATACAAATAACTACGACTAATTGTAAGTGTGTGTGGGTGTCTCTGTATCTAGATCTAACTATGCTATTAATTTTTATATTTGTAATTCAAATGAAACAGTATATCTTTCTGGATTATATAATCATGTAATCTTCATACGTAGAAGCAAGGACACAATTTCGATTTTATTTTTAATTAATTTCAAAGAAATCTGGAAAAAAATAAAAAATTACAAATTTTAATGAAATTTGTAGTTTATTAATTTTTTCAATTTTAGTCACGAAATTCCCTTGTAGAAAAGTACTACTGAGCACTAGGAGTATTTTGAGGCACTACTGTACTACAGCACTACTGTACTACTACACCAGCGCAGTAGTGCTGCAGTGTAATATATTTTGTTGCAGTGTACAATAGTACTGAGTAGTACTTTTCTACAAGGGAATACAGCGCTCAATATATTATGTATATTTTAATCATGAAAAAGAAAATTTATTCTGTAAAACTATTGCGAAAAAATTTGACGGGACAGAAACGAAAACGTCAAAAACGCTAGTTTTATCAGTAATATAGGCGTCTCCTGCATTCCCTTAATGTAGGAAAACCACTTTATATACTGCAAGTAGAGATCAAAGCTATCTAATAACGTTTTCTCTTGGGATACACTGAGTTAACCTCGCACTGCAGTTGCGTGTAAGTGCTATATCAGTGCTACGCTATATTAATATTATTAATATACATATACAACATGGTGTACACTACTTCATGCTATGGTGTTTAATTCTGCTGCCGGTTGACTTCTATTTTCAAATTTTAAATGCCATATTGGCTCTACTCCGTCCCTTTGAGATTGTGTAGCAAAACCCCACTTCGTGCATAAAATTTGCACGTTGTCAATTGGAAGTGACGAACATAAATTAAAGTACAAAATACAAAATATTTTAAAGATTTACTTTAATCATTTACTACAAGAGTCTAGAATAGATAATATATAATAAATAATGCTAAAACAATATTAGTACTTGTGTTTCTGTTTTTCATAAATAAAGTTTTGCTGTGATTCGCAAACTTTAAAGTGAATTCAGTTAACATGTGTCGAGTATGTCCATGTTTTTCTACTTCATATCTGCCGTACTGGATCAGTCATTTTGAATTTTGCAATTGTTCACATAGCGTTTCTCTTGATTGCATTATTGGTTACCAGATTCCGGCTTGCGCTATACCACTTGATAGCGCGTTGTGGAATCTGGCAACTCTGACTGCGAACACTGTGTTCTATCTTTTTTATGTTTAAATATTTGATTGTAATGAACAATGACATAGCACTTGAGAAAACGAACATTTTTTCTTTCATTCTTTACTCGTTTTATTTTTAATACTATTATAGTAATTCTACAATGTGCTCTTTATTTTCTGTTTCTTGCTGTTTGTCTCTTGTCCACTCTTACCTTTTTGATCAAAAAGCAAGAGACAAACACCAAAAAACAGGAGACAAAGAGTACATGATATTGTATGTGAATGAAGAATTTATGTATTTTTAATTGAAAATAGAGAGAGCGAGATAGAGGAAGAAGAAGAAGAAAGCAGCAGTAACAGCGATAACGAAAGTCAAGTCATCATCGTCTGCGAACACTTTCGTCACTAAAGATGGAACTGTATGGAATCAATTACCACCTGCTGATCATCAGACTCCATTGCACAACATTGTTCGTCAAAGAAGTGGTGCACACCGATTAACAGAAACAATGTCTGTTTATGACACATTCAGATGCATATTTATTTAACGAAATGATTGACATTGTTATAAGACACATGAATAAAAAGGCAAGAAAAGTTTATGAGACGTATATGTATCTATAGATCGAGCATTGGAGAAGTGGAGGTACAAAAGCTTACATAGTAATGAATATAAGATCTGTTCCTATTGCTTGAAATCCCACAAAATTTTTTAATTTGAAATGAGATGAACATATATTTGCGTTGAAAAAAAAAATGAGTGAAGATGCTAAGTGCAAATAGTGCAAGTAACGTAAATAGGTCAATTATTATGATTATGTGTTTTTTTCTTATTTATAAAAGAGAATGTACGACAAATAATATTGTGTTCTTTTTATGAACTTTACTCTCTTCTCAGATATTTGGATGTTTAAGTCCGCGAAGAATTTTAATTAACTTGACATAAGTACAAAATATTAAAGTTTAAAGTAATTTAACTAAAATCTATTTTCTAACGTGATTTGTGCAAGGTTCTTTATTAATACGCGTATGACTAATTCATAATAGTAATTATATATGCAGCATATCGTTACATAACTTTTCAAAGTAATTGGCAGAATTAGATTATTATAGATTAATATTATATTATTATAAATTACTATAGATTAATTTATTATATTATATTATTATATAATTATAGATTATTATTAATATTATAGATATAGATCAATATAGATTAATATTATAGATTATAATTGATAATAACGCACAGATATAATATTAGTAGAATATTCCAGAAAGTATTTACTATAATCCTTGAGGATTCTAATCTAATTGCCAGTAAAAAATTCATTAAAAAACAGTGAAAAAATCAAATGTATACTAATCATTTAAATTATAATTGCAATTCTCACGATTTAATCATTAATATTAACAAAAACTTAATCTTCTAATACATGAATCAATATGATTATAAAATATAATTAAAACATAAAGAAGAAATATGTATAAATTATTGTAAGCTGCACAGAGACGCAATTTATCGATACAATATGATTTAGATCATTCTGCGCATGCTTAGAGTAGAAAAATTATCGAGAAAGACGTACACCCACGGTAATTAATTCTGTCCCTCGGAAAATTTCACAAAATAAAAAATGACCACCTTTCTATATTAATTGTCACAATCCATGCACGATTAACGTTACAACTGAACCTTATCGTGCATGAATAGTGACAATTAATATAGAAAGGAGGTCACTTTTCATTTTGTGAAAATTTCCGAGGGACAGAATTAATTACCGTGGGTGTACGTGCTTTAAATTTCGTGAGTAGTCGTCGTTACATGACAGAAATCAATCATTAGCGCCTATTATATACTGACAACGCATGAGCTTTGTTAATCATTGTATAATTATGTCGACTCTTGTGAATAATATAAAAATAAAGAGTATTCTAATAAATATTACTGTGAATTACATAATTGTGTTACATCAACAAAGTATCTTTATAAATGTGTATGCATCCGTTCTAATGTTAAAATAATTAAGTAAACCATTCAAAGAGTATAAATTTATTTAGACTGTCGATAATTATAGAAGCATATGTCTGGTAGAATTTATTATAAAGAATTATATTTAAATTTTTGCATCACTACACAACACTCACAAATTATTATCATTTAAATACTTCAATTGTTGTCGATAACAATTGTGATTGTTTCGTTCAGTTTCAACAGCTCATAATACACGACATGTCCTATCAAATACAGAGCATTGCTTTGTAACCGTGGAATCACTTTTGAATCGTCGAAACCAGTTTCAACATACTGTTTCCGATGGAGCAGATTTATCATATGTTTCCGTAAGCAATCGATGAGTTTTAGCTACACTTTCCTTCAAATCAAAATAGTGTACAAGTACACATCAGAAAAACAACTTATTGCGTTCCATTTTAATTCAGTTATAGAAAAGCATGTGTAAATAAGGATGGCGTTTGTTGACTGAATTTTAGTGGGAGAGATAGAGAAACGTTCATAATTCAAAAATGACATAAGTAACAGATATCTCTGACCACAGTATATGCAGCTAGAGACATCCAAACGTGACCAGCAACTTTTAATGCAACCCTCTAATATAACGTTATTTTTATTCATATATATAATTGCGTATATAATTCTATAAAATATTTTATATAATTATATATGAAAAACTTTTTCCGAGTACATAATAATCATAAAATTTTATATGTATACCTTGGAGTCCAATTTTAGAATTCACTTGCTATGCTCTTCCAGGTGATTCTTCTTTTTCTGTTTCTTTCTGAATTGCCTCTATTTAAGTTTCTATTTATCTACTTACGAGGGTGGATTAAAAATAAACGAGAATTTCGCTCTGGAACCTAGAGAAGGTAAAGTAATTTCAAGATAATACAACATTATAACAAGATCGACATCATCTGAGCGGTGTCTCCTATTTGGTGTAATTACCCAATATAACATATATTGATCTTATTTAATTCACCGCAAACTTAAATTAATAATATATGTAAACACACTAAACACACTAAAATGTAATTGAATATTTTATTTTTGAACGAGGCAATTTTTTACATAATATTAATAATTTTTATGCAATTAAATAATTTATCAAAACTAAATATAATACCTACATTGGTTATTCTTTTCTTACTTAAATTACTTATCACATTTTGTTATTTGAAAACGCTTTATATTGCTATCATACACAAGCGGTTAAAATTTTATATTATTCTTAGACTATTTAATAAAATAAAATGCAATTATTAATTTAAAATAGAACTAAAGCAAAGGAGTATCTAATTACGATTTATAAAGTAAAAATAATATTACCCATGAAATTTGTTTCTTTAGAGTGACTAATTATTTATAGTCACACATTTTTAGATGAACGTAATTATATATTTTATTATAGCGAATTCGATTGTGTGCACTCAGTGCGCATTAGTGCACATCAAAACCTGCGTACACAAATTGATGTAAAATCATGTATTTAATATACACCAGGGTTAGGAAGTAACGCGTTACTTGTAACGGCGGCGGCGTTACCGTTTTCGTTACTTTTTTCTGTCTGTAACGGTAACGGTAACGTATTTAGCCGTTACTTTTACCGTTACTTTAGTTTCCTATTTTTAGTTTCCTATTCAATAGATCGCGCACTGATTGCGCGCCAATAGCGCGCGCTGATCACGTGCATTCTGGAAACTTATGGTACATTTCCACTGAGCGCGTCACGCGTCGCGTCGTCAAAGGAGAGAAAGAGAAGTGTTGTGTATTTATATAAACTTCTCTCTTTCTAAAAACAAATAATATAGAGAAAGAAGGCAATGAGCCAATAATATCGTTAAAATCTTTAAATTATAATCTAATTTTTTTCTCTCTTTCTCTCTTTCACGACGCGACGCGTGACGCGACCAGTGGAAATGTACCATTATTGTTAATTTCTTTTAAAAATATTTTCTAATAATTTTTAGCATTATAAAAAAAAAGTAACGAAAAAGTAATGAATCGTTGCATTTTAAGTAACGGTAACGGTAACGCGTTACTTTTCGAAATTGGTAACGAGTTACTTTTTTGAGGTAACGCGCACAACTCTGATATACACATAAAATCGAATTAAACCTCTCATGAAATCCGTAACACATTTTATTGTGGTATTAAATAAAACATGATTACTTAATCCAAAATATTTAAATTTTACTTTTACACTGAAATTAGTGTACAATAGTCTTAATATGCACTAGTGTATATCAGTACGATGTCCAACCGAATTTTCTTTTAGATATATAAATTCTTATACAATCTAAAGTTCATACTATATAAGTATATACAATCTAGTATAAAATTCTATACACATAAATCAACAAGAATATTTTTGTATGTATGTACATTGAAATTAGATAGAATATTCTGCATATTTGCCTAAATAAATTCTATAAATTATGCAAAATTATTTTCTTTTTAAAGAATTTTGTTCACGTTTCTGAATAATATTACGAAGACTTCGACCTTCCACGGAATATAGTTATGATAAGAAATAATAATATCCACCCTACAGTTATTAAGAAGCCAATATAAACTTCTGGCTCAGATATGGAATATCCTTTGTAGATGATTCCTCTCAATGATACAGAGGACAAGTTTGTTGGCACTAAATAGCTAAACCAACGAAGCACTTTTGGCATTCCCTGTACTGGCCACATACATCCTATAATTTTATCAATCTATTAATTAAATTTGTATATTAATAAAAATTTGATTTACTTAATTCTTCTTAAGATATTGTTCATATTAGTATAAACTAACATTTTTTAACTTTTTACATTACTATTATCAATAATATAATAATGTATTTCTACGTATAACAAAGAATTGTAAATTCAATAATAATCAAATTAATAACGATATATTCTGTGTAGCAATACTAGATTAAAAAAAAAATTTCCCGAAATATAAACAGTAAAAACTCACCGTTGAGCAATACTAACGCGAAAAAACTTCCGGCCGCACCGTAATGCGCTGCAGTATGATTTTTGAACATAACAGAAAGGACGAAACCTGAAAACGCATTTATACAACTGATTAGTATAGTTTCCAGTTTCTGAATTATTACTATGTTAAATTACTATTATATACTTTTTTTTTAATATCTACATTGTATTGTATAAAGTGCCGTACCATACATTAGTCCGCTAAAACCATTAAGGAATATAAGGACCATTACATTAAATATCGGTCCTTTACATTCTAGGCCCCATATAGGAAATACTATAAGCATTATCATAGCAGTATGGATGATGATGACGATGCTCTGAATAAGAATGTGAGACAGTAGAATTTCTTCTGTTCTGACCCCTATCACATATTTATATTACACATTTGTATTGTTGTAGTAAGAAATAAAAAGATAAAGAAGTAATTGTAAAACATAATTTTGTACACGACTAACAATATGTTTGGAGATACGGTAGTGTCTCGGCGCTAAGCCAAGCGCGGCGACACTACCTGGTTACTTTACGCGAGCCAGCGAGTTGCGGCAGATTGAGATTATCAGATTTCAATAACTGATCAAGATCTATATACGCTCAATCGATAGCCACTATTTATTAGTAAATTACCTTGTACTACGCTTCGATTCCAGACGCCCTCCATCCTATCTGTAATTATTAAAGTAGTAGAAACCGTGGCGGCTAAAAAGAAACTAAGTCTGAAAGAAATATAAATAATTTATGAACAACTAAAAATTAGTTTTATTCAACTGAGTTAGATTGATTATTGCTTACCCTAGCATGTATGTTGGTGCTACGTAATCTGCATAATTGAGGTCGGTCTCACCGTAAATGGGTTCTTCAAACTGAAAAGAATGGAATTTTATTCTTTTAATCTATTTCTATATAAATAAGTGAGAGGAAGAGAGAAAGAGAACGATTTTGTTAAAATATTCAAAAATTAGTTAGATATAAATTTGAAAATAATTTTGTTAGGTCATCCAAATTTTTAGACTGAAATCAGTTTGAGATTCTTATTTAAAAATTGTGATGGTTTAACAATATTATTTTAAGATCTGTATCTAGTTTAATTTTTTAATACTTCAGCAAAATACTTCTTTCTGTAGAGATATTCAATAATAACTGATTATAAAATATATTTACTCGAATGGGTGGATCGGCCAATTTTGGCGAATATTTGCAGTCTCTCATGATATCCTCATAAACCTTTAAGAAACGATCGAATAATTTCTGCTGTATAAAATATCCAATTTGCATATCTACAACAAAAGCATTGTAGTAATTTTATACATGATATTATATACATCTATTAATTTGCGTTCCGTTTTTATTGAAATGTTTATAACTTACAATAATTTTTAATTTCTTGAACTTTTTGTGTAATTTTTTAAAATAATATATTTCATTTTTTTATATATTTTAAATATTATATTTATATACACAAATTGATTAAATTGTTTAAATTTTTTAAACATAAGAAATTTTGTTAATATGTATACAACTTACCCCCCATATCGAGAAAAACTTGAATCTGGCTGGCGAGTAGATCGGAATCTTTTGCGAAAGTGGCTTCTTCCACTCGTATTTGCAAAGCTTCGGAGAAGTTTTGACTAAAATAGATTACACCACTGAGCTTCGCATTTTGTACAGCCAGTCTTGCCTTGGGAATGTCTTCATAATACTCCTGAAGGCGAAATATAAATAATTATTTTTAAAAAATATTGTAATACATTGATTATTGTTGCTGCATCAACCTTTCAATTTATATAGAAATGTATTATAATTTTTAAATTTCAATTTATATATAAATTGAATAAATTTGTGAGAAAGGTGTTAATAAACGAGTGAATTTTTTTACAAATCGATCGTCTACGCTCTACAGCATTGTTTGCTTATATTACGTTTGTCAACAGTTCATTTGCGCCACAGAATTATTGCTTAGAATTCGGTAGCCTACATTCTTTTTTTTGCACTGGTAATATTATCGTTGTTTGTATATGTTATGTTATATTATAAGCAGAAAATTAACGATTTAAGTTGATAAGTCGAATTTATTAATATTAAATCTTATAGGACCGTGAGAATTAAAAACAATAAAGAACCAATGAAAAGCAGACCATAAACGGTCAAGCTGGATCTTGAGTGCTTCTATGATATAATTGTGTGTGAATTTATTTACGTATGTAGATTTTTAACTGCGTACCGAATTTATTTCACACTTAAAAGACAAGCTCTTCTAAACTACTGTAGTAATATCACGACTAGCAATTTAATTATTTTTGATGCTTTTTGCGCATCTTAGATCGATATTAATAATATTAAATGACATATTAAAATCTGTAAATAATTAATTCTCTATGCAAAGCATATTATTTCAGCTGGGAGGTAATATTCTTCGCAATGAGAATTAATTACATCTTCGTTTTCTTTCTTCTTCAACGCTCGACATATATTTATGTGTAAAAGTGTAAAGCAAAGTGTGTAAGAAAAGTGTTAACAAGACAAACAGACCTAATTGTAGAAACATCGTTAATTAGCTTGATTTATGGCTCGTTTCCCATCAGTTTTTCATTAGTCAAATTTATTGATTTATTGATTTTGTCTACAACTTTTTTGTTTTGTTTTATCTAATTGTTGTTTGCCTATCTATCGTTTTGCCATACGAGCGTTTCTTTTTATATTTATAAGCTGTGCAATAATTATATTTATAATTGTATTTATTGTGTAATAAATCTGTTCAAAAGTTAAGAGGACAGTATAATTTTATTACGCAGAAATAATGATGAATCAGATTCCTACTCGAGCGTCAAACAGGTATTACTTCATCCTTATAATTTACGTAACGTTAGACAAGTTCGATTGTCTACAAGTATTCTCTACCATAAAAACATAAATTCTGTTTTAAAATACAAATATTCTACTTTAAGATACAAAATCTCCAAAATATTTTCTTACGTAATATAATTTTAATTTTTTATTTGTACGCAAAAAAGTGAAAGTAGGCAATCAAGTTGTATGCAATAATTTTTGTGTGCAAGCAACTTGTCGGTAAATGATGTAGGCAAACGATCTTACTATAGATAAGCAATCAATTTGTAGGTAAAAAGAGCCATTTTTTAAGGAAACATGAAATTGTTTTAATCATATATATTTCGATTATATATTTATTATTAATTTTTGAATTTTTGTACCTGTGTAGCAATGGAATTGTCAAAATTATGTAGAAATCTGCAGCTGAGGTTACCAAAATGACAAGTGAGTTCGTCATTCCAAACATTGCCAAAGTTGTTGTCGGAACTGCAGTTTTCGACTTCTTCGTTGACAACACCAATTTTCAAATTTTTTGGATCATCACCAATTGCCATAATAAATACGCCGATTTGAAGTATCGGAAATACTACTGCGAAAATGAGTCCTCTGAAAAAATGTGTCAATTATTATTTACTATTATTGTATTTAAAATATGGTACGATTAATAAATTAAAATTTTTTTTAATATGTTTTGTATACAACAGTTCAATGATGTACGATAATAATACAAAAACTGGCAATCTATTAAATTAAATTAATTGAAATTCTTAATTTTCTATAAGTATACATCTTGTAAACATATTCTACATTCCCTATATCTTATATACCGTATATATATCTATAATATGTATATCCTCTAAAAGAATTAATTATTAATATATATACATATATTTACCCATAATAACGCAAGAATTGAGTGCCATTCTTTGTCAATAGTGCTTTAAACCTTCTCAATCGCGAAACTGGACGTTCTGAAACTGCTTCGTACTTCAAGTATGCCTTAACAATTCAATTTATTTATGTTATAAAATAATATCGATTATATAGCTTTTTACAACAATAATTATGGTATAGATTATTTTTCTACATATGTACTTTTGTTGATTCACAATGTTGATTTTGATCCTGGTGCAAGACGTTACCGCCCGTATCTTCTACTTTGGATCCTTGAGCTTCATTCAAAGTGACTGTATTATTTTGGACACTGCATAACTTCAAGAAAGCTTCTTCTAAGAACGAACATTGGTATTGCGCCAGCAATTCCTGCGGTGCTGATTCCGCTAACAATTTACCACATCTCATCAAACCAATCTGTATAATAATAAAAATGTGCAATATCTAATTTATGTCATATATCGATCAAAATACATTTTTTACATGAAATAATTTTTTACATAAGTGCTAGTATTATAGAACTATTTTATTAGAAAACAAAACGCACTTTATTAGCATCTTTAGTTTCTTCAATGTAGTGTGTCGTGATCAGTACTGTAATACTTTCCTCCTGAGTAATCTGGATCATGTAGGACCAAATTCTACGCAGAAAGAACACACACAAACATTTTCTTATTATTATTCTTTATTCTATCAAAAAAAAAAAGCAAATTTTACTTGCTTCTCTCTCAAAACTGGATCCAATCCCACAGTGGGTTCGTCGAGAATTAAAAGTTCGGGCTTGTGGATCAACGCTACTGCAAGGGAAACCCTTCTTTGTTGACCTCCACTCATGTTCTTTACCAGATGATCATCTGAGGGTAGTTGAAGCAACTCCGAGAAGAACTTCTGTCTCGTCTCTTAGAAATAATACGGGGAAGCTGTAGTTGCTTGAATTAACTTACGTTATATAAGTTTTTTATATATAATATGTATATGTATTTATGAATGTATACGAATAATATTTAAAACAAAAACTGATACCGTTTAAAAGGTGTTCACTGAAAAATATTTGATACAGCTGAAACCTCTTGGAATACATATGACGTTTGATATACGCGCGTGTGCTATAATATTTTTTTTATTTTATGTCTTACCGATCTCTTCATCATTGAGTCCATTGATTCTACCGAAGTAATAGAAGGCACCACTCACGGAAAACTCTCCGACCAAGGAAATCTCTTGCGGCATGTAACCTACTCGAGGTCCAGGGATGCCAGAGCCTTTGCTACCTGGATTTCCTCCCAAAACCCACACCTCTCCACTATCAAGATGCCGAACCCCGACGACGCAAGACAATAATGTGGTCTTGCCACATCCACTAGATCCCAACAATCCGTATCTATTTAAAAAAAAAATTTCATTTACATGCTTTATTTTATTTTAAATGATATGTTCGAACGAGATTTTTCATTTAAATTTTCTTATTTGAATATTTATTAAAAAGTTATACGACTATCCTATCGTATATTTTACGAATACGACGGCAATTCAACAAATCGGTGAATGGAAATGAAAAAATAACAATTTATCTTGTTTCTTGAATAATTAAAATTGTGTAGATAATAATCGCGAATTTTAATTAATTTTATGACATTTTCTTTTTCTGCTATGGAGTCTATTTAATTATTCTTTCTTTTAGAAAATTTCGAATTATTCGTTAACAATTTTGTTGAAATTGAAAATTAATTTATTGTTGAGTTCATTTGCTATTTTGTACACATTGTTCAAATTGAATATCGTTGCTGATCTGTTTGCGACGAACACATTTTTTTTATCAAGTTTTATTCATAGACGTCTTGAAAGCATTGAGGCAGGAAGACCTTACGATACATGTAATATAAATAAGTTATATATATATATATATATTTATTATATGCTCTACCAATACGAGAGCACGAAACGTCATTAATTCAATTCAGGATACTGCAAACCTGGTCTGGTCGAAAACGCCAATAATTTAAATATATTGTGATATATTATTAATAATATAAGATATTTGTTATGATGTATTATTAATAATATAATAAAATGTTACAATATTTTTTTTACATTTTGCACTCTATATCGTTGATAATATTTGAATAGTAAAACGTTTAATAAATTTTTAACGTTAAATGTATCTCTGATTTACATATAGTTGTAGTTATTCAGATGATATATTTTTGATGTTCAACAGGTGGGCCCAAAAGTTTAGAGACATTTGAATTTAAAGATAAGTATAACAGAGAAAAATAAAAAAAAAGGAAATGATTAAGAAATCATTAGAAAAAATCAAGAATTAGAAAGGTATATATAGATTTATTAGGTTAAAAATCTAGTCGGTTAATGTAAATTAAATTTATATTGAGATTGAATATAATATTTTAGTTATTAAAATTTCATATAAGATGACAATATTCAAAGCAAATATAATAGGTGAGTAGTTTGGATAGTGAAAATAATTATTAAAGCGTTATATATTAAAAGAGTTAAATATTGTTTAAATTTCTAAAATTATAGAATGCTACCATCTGTAGAAAAATTAAAAAGTGCGAAAAATTTTCAGATTGGGAAATTTCAAATAAATTTTGTTTCATGCAAATGAAATATTAAAAATAGTAATCCAAATGAAAGAATTGATGCATGAAAAAAGAAAGATGCGGTAGCTCAAAAAATAATTATTTCCACTATTAATAAGAAGTTGTTTTTAAACATAATGGACTGTAACTTCAAAAGAAACGTGGATTAAAATTTTTAGATTATGTGAAAAAGATACAAATCAAAAATGTTCTTTATTGCTAAAGTTCTGTAATACATCTTTTAAAAGGAATTCAAACATCTCATTATATTATATATAAGTAAGTTAAAATATCTGAACGAATGAAAAACAGTTCGTAATAGTCAAAATGGATCTTAGGTGCTTCTACATATAATTACATGTAAATTTATATACACTGACTAACAATTTAACTCGTGATATTACCATACCACGGTAGTTTAATAGAGCTTGCATTTCAAATCTGAAAAAAATTCACACGCAATTATAGAAGCATCCAAGATTCAATTTGACTGTTACGGTCTGTTTCTCATTAGTTTTAATTCTCAAGTTCTTATAAGATTTAATATTTAAAAAAATCCAGCTTTAAGGTACGAAATGTGATAAATATAAAAAGAAACGATGATATACTAATGTCAAAAATATATTAGCAAAATAATATATGTATGTACCAAAAATATACTGCAAAAGGAAATAAAATTTTGTCTACAGGAGAAAGAGCGTGTGTTAGCCTTGACAGCAGATCAAAATAAATTAATATACAAAACGTAATAAATTTGAACATTCGACGAAGTTTTGCAGAATTAAATTATTCAATAAATAACAAGAAGGCGTGAGGTAAAAATTATACAAAAATGCGGTTTGCAGCAGTCAAAAAAGTGAACCTTTACCTTTAATTTATTCTTTCATTGAACTTTGTACGATTTTTTTTTCACCTAGTTATTGAACGTTGAAGCAAAAGTGATCACTAGATTTCGAAAGTAGAGATTTTAAGGGTACATATCCATCAATAACTTTCAAAATTTTTATTGTTTTTTGAAAAAACGAAAAAACGAAAAACTGGCTTCCATCCGCCATTTTGAGGAAGTCGAGGGGATCGTCTATGGACCGGGAATAGCTGATTAGCTGTGAGTATTAATATTTATACGTTTATGTGTCCGAAAACATAACACTTTAAACGCGTTTTCCCGAAAATCACTTTTTTCGAGTCGCCGCAGGTGATAACTCGCGTAATTTTTAATGAATCTTTCTGAAATTTTGATGACATGCGTAAAACATGTTTGGCTACAGAGTAGACTACAATCATAATTATATATGCAATAGTTTTTTTTATATGAGCAAAAAACTAGCGAAAAAAATGCAATAAAATTGAATTTTTTTTCAAACCGCCGCCATTTTGTGAATTTTTATGCAAAAATTTTTTTCGTAGTCTACTCCGTGGAGACACTCATACTGATGAAGATCGTTTTTTATTTTTTTGTTTCAGACCTATTTTACGACCAGGAGGACCTGCTGCGCGGAATTTGATTTATGACAAGCGGCTCGCGTTGGCCTGCATTAAGGCGGCATTTTTTCTTGAAAAAATTTTTATAAGTAGCTAAAAGTGTAATAAAAACAGCCTAAAAACATTCAATGTTATATCTCATTTAGATTTTCTAAAAAAAAATTCACAAAAATCACCCATTTTGACGGCCTACTGATGGATATGTACCCTTAACTTTTAAAATGCTTCTTTAATTTTTTTCATTGAATTATGGTGTTCTGAATATTGCTCAATTTTTAGTATGTTCGAAAGTATTTCCTAGATTTTGTTGAGTAGTGTATAACCAAATATTATAATCAGGGAAAAAATTATATTGAAAAAAATGTAGAATTTATAAAAAGAACAACCACAATGAAAAAGATTGTTATAAAAATAAGAAAAAATAAAAATAAAGGAGAAAAAATAGTATATCTTTATTAATAAATGAAATAAATGAGGATAATGTTTGGAGTGTGGACTCTGATAATATATCTAATATAACAAATAAAAGATCTAATATTAAAAATCTGACGAAATTAAATACTATAATATATAAATACTATAAATATGTAAATGTTGCAAAATCAGTCAAAATCATAGAAGTTGTAGGTTATTCGTAGTATACAATTTGATAATTGTAACTTAATAGAGTATTGTTCATTAATATTCAAGTCAATGTTATTTAGATATATAAATTTTATCAAACTTGAAGCAAAAATGATATGAAGACGATTAATCTTTTGTATTGTCATAATAAATAACAGTTACTTACATGGAACCTCTTGAAACAGTCATATTCAGGTCATTAAACACCAACTCTTTCCCATAACGCTTTACGGCGTTCCTTACAACCACTGCCTCTTGTTGCACCATTTCGTGAAATAGTGATGAGTGCTTGATTAGTGGCCGAACTGTAACAATTTTTTTTTTAGATGACTTAAAAATGAACTGTGATTTACTGAAACAATTGACTTTTTTAAGTGTTATTAAATTGAAATGCTATTCAATTCAATATACAAATATTAATAAGAGATATGAAACGGTTATTATGACTTGTAATAGACAAATAATAATGTTACTTTCAATAATCATATAATATTATGGGAAAGTTACTTTGTAAAAGTAATTAATTACAGTTAGTTTTTTTTTTCAAAAAGTAATTAATTACCTTTACAAGTTATTGATTCTGAAAAGTAATTCGTTATAGTTATAGAAGAAATAACTTTAAGTTACTTTTAAGTTACTTTTTCATCAGAATTTTCACTAGTATCATCGATACTAGGGCTGCATTCAGAAATGTTACCCAACTACCGTCGTGTATTGTTTTTCACCTAATATTAAACAAGAATGATACACAGGGCCATCAGAATAATTAGAGCAATTAAAAAAAAGACTGGTTTACATTTACATGTTATAAAAATTGTATGGCAAAAACGTTTTTCGTTAAAGTAATATAAATGAATATGAAATAGCATGTATACAATGTTTTCTTGCAAACAATATTCCTTTTATGTTCAGTTAAAAGTTGCAAATAAATTCTAGATTCCAAATTCCAGCACTAATCCAAAATATTAATATGTAATCAAAAATATATATCAAACAGATACAAAAGTTCATTGAACGCTTTAATTAAATTTCTTTCTTCTGATTAATCAAATGTTTCGAAGCATTTGTAGCACCAAATGGATATTATCGCACACTAAATTGATAAATAAGAATTTGAATATATATAAAAAGTAACTATATATATATAAAACTATGAAAGTAACTATTAAATTAGTTACTAGTTACTCAAAAAATGTAACTAAATTAAGTTATAGTTACAGATGGAAAAAAGTAACGAAGTTAATATTCTTATGCTTCAGTTGGGGGGGGGGGGGGGGGGGG